AAAACTTACCGCAAACATAAAATAACCTTTATACAAGATAAGAGACTAAGAGCAATACAAAATTTAATCAAAGTTATGAAATTAACTTCTTATTTATAATGGACCCACCACTTTAATTTTGTTAGTCTTGTACATATCAAATATGTTATACAAAGTTTATTTGAAATATTAGCTAGAATGAAGCATTATTTTTCTCTGGTAAATTTTTTGAAATAAAGTAACAAAGTTTCTTACATGTTTATTTTAATTGTGCTCTTTATTTTTTTTTAGAATATAAATAATTGATTATCATATTTACTGAGAATATTTCAATAATGTCTTTTTCTACATAAACAATCAAATAATTTATAAGAAAATCATTCTTCATTCAATTGTGAAGTCTTGGTTTAACAATCTTCATTACTGAAAAAGTTAGTTAAGTGGTTGCCGTTAAAACAGGAAGAGTCAAAATAAGCCAAATCAATATATCAATTAATGGATAAATTGCATATTTTCTAGTTTTTACCTATCCTTGGCAAATCATCAATCAATGACAAATTTTTTAACTTTAGAGGATTGGGCACATCAAGCTTATAATGCTATAATTGGAATCGTAACTTATGTTTTTCTTGGTCGGAAAAATCTACAAGATAAGACTTATCAACAAGCCTCCATATATCTTTAACATTGAATAATATGTAGGCATTTTTTATTCAAAGTTACACTTAACATAAATAGCTCGATTGTCTGTTCACTAAATCTATTATTTAGCTCTTTCAATTGTTAATTAATGGTAGCTATAAATATATTAACTCGATAGTGTTGCTCTACTATTATTAAATTTTTTTCGATGGGATCATCCCATATTAAAAAAAAAAAAAACTTCCATGTTAGGAACTTCAATATCTTGATGCTTATAAAATGATAAAACTTCTTCTAAAAGAGTTTCTCAATTATTATCTCTTAACTTTTGAAACAATGTCTTTGTGATGGACACCAAATATATAATATTTAAAATATCTTGTGATTTGTGTTACAAGACTTAATAAGACATATCAATAATTCTCGTAACATTCTTTGTTATATGTAAAATGAATACAAAATCAAATGTTATTAGCAGCTTCACTGTAAAAGCTGCATCATTATGTTGAGAATAAGTAAATCCATCTAAAGTAATTTTTCTCAAAAATCAAGCAAGATGCCTCATACAATTTTATCAAACTAAAAATTGATTTGAAATGCGACCTCCGTTAACTATCTCAGGGTCGCTGCAAACCATCTACTTGATTAGCTCATTCACTCGTTTCAATCTCAACAATAATAATTAAATTTTAGCTACTTGAAAAACCCCAAATTTATTATTATGCTTGTAAAAAACACCAACAATGTTGATTATAAAAATCAAATTTTAAAAAAGAAAGTGTGAATATTATATTCTTCCATAGCTGTAGCAGTTAAAGCCAATTGTAGTTGGTAAGCTAAACAATATACATAATATGTATAAGGACAATCTTTAATGAATAAAGCGTGCAATCTATTCCACTTTCCACGTATATTACTAGCACCGTTACACCCTTGACTTCTAATAATTTGAATATCAAAATTATAATGAGATAAAATAGAGGAAATCTTTTCCTTAAGAGTTAAAACAATTGTATGTTTAACATGCATTATATCTAAAAAATATTCTCGTATAAATTCATTTCTATCAACAAACCTAATAACAATAGTTATTTTTTCCTACTAGATTCATCTAGAACTTCATCAACAATCAAATAAAATTTCGCATCACCAATCTCAAGATGAATTAAAGATTGAACGTTTCTACTAAAGACACGTAAAATTTTCTTTTGAATTTGATATGATATGTATTTAGCATCTTATAGAGCATTATCCAAAATAAGAACATCTACTTGTTCATTATATGATGCTAAGAGTTTCATCATTTCAAGAAAATTGCTTTATTTTTTTTTTAGTCGTTCATCATATCCTCTAAATGCATATGTTTAAAATATGAGTTAATAAACAATATTCATTGATGCTTTAAATTTGTTGAAAAGTTTGCCTCCCAACCACCATCTCAATATGACATAAATGATTTTTCAAATTCTCTAAGCATCTAATAACAAATCTACAAGCTTAATTTGAACATGTTGCTATATGAGTAAAAAAAAAGAAGACATTGTTCATTATCATTAGCTTTCTTCCAATAATTAAATTCTCTAACAATAAATGTGTTTAATCCTTGCTTTCTAGTTGATTTACTTGGAAATAAATAGCAGATAAAACAAAATGCAGCATTTTTATTTGAACATTTAAGTAAGGAAAAACTTTTCAACAAATGAGATTGGAATAGGTGGTGATGTTTTTTACCAATTAGCATATATTCAGACATCAAATATTGATGTAGCCCTAAATTAAAGTATTTCCCTTCGAATTTCATCTTGTTGATTAATTAAGTATTCTTAAATTTAAGGTCGATTATCTTGAATTGAATGAGCATTGTCAATATTTTGATGTTTAGTTCTTACAATTATAGTGAGAGTTTGCTCAACAATCAATACATGTTCTTCACAAATTGAAGTAGGTTGGGGTTGCTCAACCATTAATTCAACATTACACATTAGAGTTGGTTCACTAAGTTGATAGTTATCTATGATTTTTTTTCTTTCTAAAAAAATCAATTCATTTTGTCTTGTTTATGGTTCGACTTGAAATCAAAACAGATAAAATAGACAAACCTTAATTAAAAAAATTCAAGAACCAAAACTAGGAATAACAATAAAGATCAATACCATAAATTGATGAAGTGTGTATTCTTAATTCCACTCAAATTCATAAAAACTCAATTAAAATTAAAAATTGATAACAACCCACTTAAGTGTAAAAACAAGATAGAATGCTAATAGAACAATTCAAGAAAGAAAAGATAGTGAAAATAAGACAAAAAAAGAAGTTTTTGAGTCTGGATTACCTTGTTTTAATGGAAAAGGGTGGAATGATTTTAGTACAAGATGTGCGCGCGTGTAGATAGAGAGAGTAAAGTGGATATATCTTTTATTTTTTTATCAATTATTTTTTTGCTAATATATATTTTTAAGCAAGGTTACAAGAAAAATAATTCAGCCTTCAAAGGGCCTAACCCTTAATTCTACCACTAGGTAAAGATATTGGTTATTCTACTTTACACGTAGAATTTATATGCAAGAAGTTGTACACTAATGAATGGTTTGTGGTGTTAGTTTAACTTTTTAGAAACTTAAAAATACATTAAGATATATGCTTAGGTAGGAATAAAAAAATAGTAGAAGACCAGTTTAACTGGGTTGGTCTTATCCGAAAACAAACCATTTTTTTAAAGAAAATTTTCTAGTATCAATTTGGAATGGTGTGTACAATATGTTGGAAATTAGTGTAAGAAATCTAATCTTTTGGTTCACATTGTGAAAAAGAAATAAATGCAATTTTGTCTTTATAAAGGAAACTTGGTGTGTTTCTTCATCTCATTACTAAAGAAATAAAAGATATTTAAATTATCCTTTCAAATTTTTCTAATAAACATTTCAAATCTAGAGTTTGTTATATATCGTGTTTTTATCATTGATTCATCGTATCTCTCTCGAAAGTATTTGGTTTATTACATCATTGTATTTGAATGAAATTCAATATTGAATTTTTAAGAATAAATAATTTAGTAGTTAAATATGTAATACTTTTATAATGTTACACAAATTAGTTAAAATTAGAGATGATTATGAATATTCATTGGTTAGATTCTACTATAATTATATCATATCTAATATTTATTAGGTAATAAATTTAGATATTTGTATTATATTTATCTTTTCAAATATTCATTGTTTATGTACTACTTATTGTTCAACATATAATAAAAGAATAATATATACAAAATGATGGAATTATAAATATTGTATATGTGTGTGTATTGTGTTGATATTGAAATATAAACATTTTATATTTTATTATGATACAAATATATACATTCCAAGTTTCAAGTTATGTTTGAGTCGAGTTTGTCAAACAAAATAATTATATAAAAAACCCCATCTAATTAGGTCAATTTAAATTAATATCAAACAAGTTTGGATGAAATTATTATTACTAGTTAAAACGGTTACATTTTCCATCCCAAGTTATAATTGTTCCATGTAATAAAAGGAACATTTGTTGATTTGGTCCTTAAATAGTAAACAAATGAGATAATCTAAATGGTAGAATTATATCCAGAGCATAAAATTTTTTTTTTGTTTGCCGTAAAAATAAAAAACCTTAGATTATTAGTGGAATTTCTAGATTACACTAACTCTAAAAGTTTGTTTAGAAAAATAATAATGGTTGCTTTTTATGTTAAAATACATACTAATAATTTTTTTTATTTTTTTAAAAATTATTTTTAATATTAGCATGTTAAAGAAATTTCAAAATACTAAAACTATATTAATTTTGAATTAATAAAAAAACGAAAACATTTTAATTTTTTTTAAAATATTTTTAAAATACATAAAGATGGCAAATTTGTAGTGTAACTATAATCGTTAGACGAACTCACGTGTAGTTTTGTCTTCCTGGGATGATTTATAGAACCCCAGGACAGACACCCAGCAAAAAAGTATTCTAATCCAACGGCCCAGCACGATAAACCCAAAATCTCCAAACTCCTAATTAAGAGCCATGGACTCTCTGACCCTACCTAACCCTCTATCTCTCCCTTCCTCCACGTGTTCCTCCTCTCTAGTACTCCGAAATCCACACTCAACCGATTCTAATCATTCCTCCTGTTACCCTTTCTTTCTCACAGCCCTAATCGCCACCGTTAAACTAAGATACCCCTCACAAATCCATCGGTATGCCGATCCCCTATCACCATTTTACTGCGCACTTTAATATCACTCTTCAGTTATCATCATACGTATGTAAACTATCCACGTGTCCAATGCCCCACGTTTTCAAATTCCATCACCATCACTCATTTCTCTGACATCAAACGAGTAAAAAAGCAAATGTTTTCATTTCCTCATGTCAGAAAACGCAAAAAATGAAAAAATATCACTCACTCTCTTTCTCTCACTCAGACCTATCGTCTTTCAATTAACCGGAACCCTAACTCGATCCACCGGCAAATTAGAGATCCCGGTGAGTTATAAAGTATCCGGAAACTATTAATTTTCTGTTTCTTTTACTTTACTTGAGTTTAATTAGGTTTTTGAAGAGTGGAAAAGGAAGTTAATTATTTTTCTTAGAGGTCTTGTTGAAAAAGTAGATGAGCGTACGATTGGGGAAGAGTTAACGGCAAGGATTTCGTCTCCGAATGGAGGGAGGTAGCGTCTCTAGACTTACTTACTCTGGTACTGTTCATTTCCTACTTTTTTTTTACTAGTAATAATACAAGCAGATAAGGTTAGAGACTATTTTTTTCTTTAATTTAGTTGCTAACAGTTTTGAAAGCTTAAAAGACCAAGTATTTTTGTTTTTGGCTTATGAATAATTGGTAATTAGTGCAAAGAAGTTGTTAACATATACTGTTAAAGTAATTAAAGGTTTGAACTAGGGTTTTTGTGGAATTCAGTTGCATTCATAAGTTCAGCTGGATTGATTTAGAGAAGAAAAGAAGTTTCTTTTAGATGTTGACGTGGAGTGGAGATTTAACTTGTTTTAAATTCGTAAGATTTTTTTTAGGGCTTAATTGGTGCAGCCTGTTATTAAAGTTCAGGTGACATGCATATATATATATATGTATATAAAACATAAAAAAGGAGCAGCTGTTACCCCAAATTACAACACCTATAATACAACTGACATGGCTATCGGCTAGACAAGTAAAAGATAAAACTTTTTTCTTGAAGTTTATTCGAATATAATATAAATTTAATGCTTACTGAATAATATATGTCAAAAATTTCCATGAAAATCCCCCTAAGTTTTTATTTCTAAGCAAGAAAATTGCGTCAAGAATGGGAAAAAAAATCCATCTTTGTTGTTTATAATGTAAGAACAATTTCTCTCGAAAGTATCTTGTCTCTGTAAATTCCAAATTTATATGTATTTAAACTTGGAAATCTGTTTTATTAATTAAGTAAATATGGTTGCCATGTGCTTTTTTTTCCCTGTTGAAGGGTGATGGTGATATGATATTGAATGGCATGTTTCCAATATTGTTTTCACTTGTAATTTATTTTTTTCAGCTCTATGGGATTCAGGTGGTAAGAACACCTAGTAAGACAGTTAAAGGCAAAAAACCCCTTTGTTTCCTAGTGATTTAAGCTGTTAAAATAGTACTTTCATCGTCCATATGCGCATCTTACAAGATACTGTGAACTATAATGCTTCTTCCTAGGCCACTTGCATCAACTATCTACTTCTACTGTATAACCATGACAATGCATTGGCTGTAAGGTGCCACACAGGATATCTATGAGGCATGCTAGAGGAATCACTCCACATAAGTAGCGCAATTAATGGAAAGGTTGGAGAAATAGAATGGTGATGTTGTAGTGGCGGGCGTTGTTATTTCACACTTTCTGCTAAAAGGTTGTAGAGCAACATGCCATGTTGGCTTAATTATGAAGTCATAACTATTAATTATAAAAATTCTGAGCTTGTGTGTCCTGCTTTTAATCCCTGTAAGATGACATTTTGAAGTTGTTATCCTTTGATTGTTGTATTTCTTGTTGTGGTGATATACAACATGGTGTTTTTCTAATGTGGATATGTGGCCTTTGTACATCTGTAACTGCAATTGACTGGTTTCTTCTCTGTCTCATTGTTTTAGGGATACACCCATGGATTATGATGACAATGATTTTCAAAGCCACAATCTTCATTTAGCAGGTGAAGGAAGCAACAAATTTCCTCCTGTTTTACAGCCATATGCCCTCCCCAAATTTGATTTTGATGACAGTCTTCATGGATCGTTAAGGTTTGATAGTTTGGTTGAGACTGAGGTTTTTCTTGGCATTGAAAATAACGAGGACAACCAGTGGATTGAAGATTACTCTCGTGGTACCAGTGGGATACAGTTTAGTTCAAGTGCGGCAAAGTCTTGCTCTATATCAAGGTGCAACAATGTTTGGTCTGAAGCTACTTCCTCAGAATCTGTGGAAATGTTATTAAAATCTGTTGGCCAGGAAGATAATACTCCTGTACAAACTAATTCTAGGGAATCAGATGCCTGTGATGAACTGGGTTGCATACTAAAGCACATGGAGCCCAGCTTGAAACAGGAAAACAATACACCTCCTAAAGTGGAAGTTACAACAAATTTACAGGTTAAATTTCTGCCGGGTGAGAATGTGGAAGATTTATCTGTGTTAGATAATGATGTTGGAGGGCAGCAGCCTCTTGATGGTAGTTCTCAGGATCTTAAAGGTGACGTATCTGCTGATAGTGGTTTGGGACGTTCAGTTGACCCAGCTGCCATTAGTATAGAGGCCAGACAACCTGTTATCGAAGGGAGTTTGTCAATTGATGGTGATTCTAATAATGTTAATCACAGGGGAGATGATGATTTGGTGAATGGATCTTTGGATGACAGGCTTCAAAAAGGTCCTGCTTCAGGGATGCAGGATAGTGCCTCTGTGCAAATAATTGCTACAGGAAATGATGAGTCAAATGTAAAAGATGGTCCAGATAATGTAAATGACACTAATGATGATAGTAAAGTTGTTCTGAAAACAGACACTGCTGAGAATCAGAAAAAGAAACCCATATTAAGTCAAGAGGGCCAAATGGAGGATGAGAATCCTCACTCAAGTGCAGTGGAATCTATGGAAGAAGCAAACATCATCGAAATTAACTCGATTAATTTGGGGGAACCTTCTTGCATAATAGCAAAGGAGCATTCTTGCCTGCCAGAAGACCTAGTGACTAGTGATCAGTCCAAAATGGATACAGTTGGGGGATCAATGATGACTGTTGAAGATAATATGATTTTTGAGAGGCATGAAATTGAGGACTCGAATGCTTCTCAATTGGATAACAAGAACTTGGCTAACAAGTGTGAGGGATCTTATCTATCTATTGAAGGCAGTGAGCTTTCTGAAGTGAAAGTTGGTGGAACAAGCATTAGCGATATAGGTGGTCTTTCTAGTTTGGCAGCAGGGTGTTCTTCAACTGAAGTTGTTGGAGAAACACATGCTGAGGGCCATGTTTCATCCTCCATACTTGCTGAATCATTGCAAACATGTGGGAAAAATATGGTTCCTGCTGATGGAAAGGACACAATAGAGCTTCCTTCAAGTAATGCTAGCCCTGAAAACGACTTGATAGCTTCAAGATTACAGTCAGATGCTGCTTCTGACAACAAATCAGGTATATAGTGAAATATTATTCCATGGAATATTACATTAAGTCTATGGAATTTATTTATTGCTAAAATCTTTGCTTCTCTTTATGTTGCATTATCAGATGGCTGCAGAAATGCTAACATCATAACCTGTAATGCAATGGATGATGTTTCAGCACCTTCTGGAGATGTCACTAGCATGGATACAGTTATTGGTCACAAAGATGTCAAAGTGTCACCTTTAAGTGGGATAAGTTCAAGTCCCTTAGATAGAGAGAGAGAGATTGCAGACAAAATTTCTGTGGAGGCGAGTTTATCTGATCTGAAGACCTCTTCTCAAGTGATAGCTGGATTAGATCCTGTATCTGTATCTGAAGAAGATGCTTCTTCTGGTGCTGCTAGACTGATGTTATGTGAGTCGGCTGAACAATCTCCATTAATGGTGGATGCTAGTAAAACAGAAGGACCTCAATCAGAAGTAAGTAACAAAGTCAGCATGAAGTGCACAAAGGATATGGAAGTGTGTCCAGTTCTTTGTGACTCAACTGCAAACAAAGGAAATGATGCTGAAGTGCCAGAAAAAGAAAATGATGAAAAGGGATCATCCAAAGTTTTAGGTGAGCAATTGTAATTTAGATAATATGCGTGTGAGAATTCAAGTATTTGGTTCTGTTTTATTCTTAGCTCGCTGCACTCCCCAAATTGTTTGTGAGGATATGCAAATTCTGATCGTGTAGTTTGCTATATCATTTGGATATTTCTGAAGCTAGATGCCATCCACCAATTTTCTGTATTTCTACCTTTATGACCCCATGCTTTAAAAAACAAAGAATCGTATATGGTGTTGTCTAATTTTTTCTGATGAAACTCTGTTTCTGTGCATGGTTATCAATAACTGGTACCTAGAAGTGTTATTTATACTTTGTTTCCTTCCCCCTTTTCTCATGGTCCTGATATAGATATCCTGATTTGATTAATCCAACTTTCTTATTCTGATAAGAACTCCTATGATTATGGTCATCCTTGCTGAATTGTTTTTTTTTTTTTATTATGCAGAACCAGCCGTAAATAATAGTGAGATGCTGGGACCTATCTCCTCAGAAAGAGAAGAGTGTCAGGTGGATGCTAGTCTGAAAGGCGAGAAAGAAAATGAAGCTGCCATGATGTGTAGAGATAAAAGTGATGGGCAGATAGCTGTCCTGAGCACAAATGGTTGGCCGTTTATTTATTTCTTGTTAGTTTAGTAATTTGTCATTCCTGCTTGCCAGCCTTGTCTGTGGCTCTTATTTTATTTAATGGAAAAAAATCATGGATGTCCCAGTATTTTTATACCTTTCAAACTTCGTTTTACCTGTTTTGCTAGAATGTGGAAGTTGTGCTGATGTTGGCAAGCCAACCAGTGGATCCCCTATTGTCATCAGAGCCGCTGGGGAATTTCAGAGTGAAAGTGACAAAGATGGAGCCAAATGCTCAGTGGAGCAGACTTCTGTTGTTGATAGCAATGCCAGCAAAGCTTTATCCTCTTCTCAGGATCCGAAACAAAATGATGCATCCAAAGATGAGAGGAGCTTCACTTTTGAGGTCAGTCCACTAGCAAATATCCCTCTGAAATCAGCTGACAATAAATGGCAGTCATTTTTCAACATACCAGCCACTAAAGTGTCACCGGTAAACTTTCTACATTCACATTCTTCACTACCTTCCCATTACAATCTGACATGATACCAACATTGCCTTTTATGATCCTTATCAATTTGTTCTTTCTTTCTTTTCCTTTTTTTGGCTCTTTTCAAAGATTGTGAATGCTTCTCCATCAGCATCTGGTGTGGTCCAGGTAGATCCCAAGATTGCTCAAGACCCTTCTCATGGAAGTCCAAAGGTGTCTGATGTTTCCACTGTGCGTACTGGTTCTAAAGGTACTTCTGAGCGTAAAACAAGACGATCATCTGGTAAGGCCTCGGGAAAGGAAAGTGCCAGAAAAGGAAATCCCGCTAAAGAAACTGCTTCTGTGAGACTAGAGAAAGGGGAAAAAATGAGCAATGTCTCTCCGGGCCCTTCTGGGATATCACAACATGTGCAATCAAATGAGATGCAGTGCTATGGTCATGTGGATTCCAGTGCTATGAAACCATTTGTTCTTGCATCATCCTCATCAAACCTTCCAGATTTGAATTCTTCTGTCTCTCCATCTTTGATGTTTCAACAACCCTTCACAGACTTGCAACAAGTGCAATTGCGTGCCCAGATCTTTGTTTATGGTGCTTTGATGTGCGTCTTGCTATTTTTTTTCTTATAATATTGTTGGTACCAATTTGTTGTTATATGTATGGGCAGAGGTGGAAAAATTAATTTCATGGATGTGATTAAATCTCTTCTGGATGTCTTGGGTGGCATTCATTAACTCCCAGCTCCTCCCATACCATAAGTGAGGAAAGAATAGGGATAAAAAATGAAAGGAAAATACAATTACTGAGCTGATTTTCATTTGATTATTGGATGTAATGGGTGGCTTTTGAATTTACGGGATCCTTCTGCATTTTACAAAAAAATTCCTGTTTGACGATTATGATTTACCTAAATCTCACTTTAATTTTGTTTGAAATAATTGTTACAGTCAAGGAACAGCTCCAGATGAAGCATATATGATATCAGCATTTGGAGGATCTGGTTAGTGGCACTTTCACTTGTTTTGCTGTACTTCTTGACTCTAAAAGAGAAAACACGTTTACTTTGACAATGTTCTTGTAGATGATGGTAGAAGCATCTGGGAGAATGCTCTACGCTTGTCTATAGAACGGCTTCATGGTCAAAAACCTCATCTCACTACTCTGGAGACCCCTTTGCTGTCACGTCCTGGTATCCCTCTGATTTCAAGCTGTTTAATCTTGCTTTAGATTTGGTTGAGTTCTAAGCATGACAGAAATGAGATGTAGGTGCCAGAGCTCCTGATCAATCAATTAAACAGAGTAATGTTCAAAGTAAAGTAATCTCTTCACCAATTGGTTGGACCAGCATGGGCACTCCTACAATTGTGAACCCCATGGCGCCCCTTTCTTCTCCTCTCTGGAGTGTACCTAATCCCTCCAGTGACACATTTCAATCGAGCAGCATGCCAAGGGGTCCATTTATGGATCATCAGCGGGCTCTTTCTCCTTTGCATCTTCATCAAACTCCACAGATAAGAAATTTTGCTGGTAACCCGTGGATATCTCAATCACCCTTTTGTGGTCCCTGGGCTACATCTCCACAGACACTTGCACTAGATACAAGTGGTCGTTTTTCTGCACAATTGCCTATTACAGAACCAGTTCAATTGACACCTGTAAAAGACTTATCCAAGCCAATTACCTCCGGTGCAAAGCATGTTTCCCCTGGTCCTGTGGTTCAGAGGGGGACTTCTGCCAGTGTTTTCACTGGGAATTTTCCTGTTCCAGATGCAAAAAAGGTTACAGCATCATCCAGTCTACCTCTTACTGATCCAAAGCCTAGAAAAAGAAAAAAGGCTTCAGTTTCCGAGAGTCCTAGCCAGAATATTTTGCATATTCACCCACAAACAGAATCAGTTCCTGGTCATGTTGTTACCAGTTATCCATCAACTTCTATAGCCATGACAACCCCTATTGTCTTTGCTTCTAAATCTCCTACAGAGAAATTTGTTACTTCTGTATCTCCAACTCCTACTGATATTAGAAAAGGGGATCAAAATGCAGAACAAAGGAATATTTTGTCAGAGGAGACCCTTGATAAAGTAAAGGCTGCGAGGGTGCAGGCAGAGGATGCTGCTAATCTTGCTGCTGCTGCTGTTAGTCAAAGACAGGAAATATGGAATCAGTTAGATAAGCAGAGAAATTCTGGGTTATCACCAGATGTTGAAACCAAACTAGCTTCTGCAGCTGTTGCAATAGCAGCAGCAGCTGCTGTTGCGAAAGCAGCAGCTGCAGCTGCCAATGTTGCATCTAATGCTGCATTGCAAGCAAAACTGATGGCTGATGAAGCAGTAGTTTCTGGTGGTTACAGCAATCCCAGTCAAGACAATGCAATTTCTGTTTCTGAAGGCTTGGAGAGTTTGGGGAGGACTACTCCTGATTTTGTCCTGAAGGGTGATGATGGGACAAACAGTTCCAGTTCAATCCTTGTTGCTGCAAGGGAGGCTGCTAGACGAAGAGTTGAAGCAGCTTCTGCTGCTGCAATAAGAGCTGAGAATATGGATGCTATTGTCAAGGCTGCTGAGCTGGCTGCAGAAGCTGTGTCCCAAGCTGGGAAGATTGTTTCTATGGGCGATCCTCTGTCACTGAATGAGCTAGTAGCTGCAGGTCCAGAGGGCTATTGGGAAGTGGCCCAAATAAACAATGAGCTGGGCTCTAAATCAAATGATATAGGTAGAAAAACTATCAACATAAATACTGTTGGAGAAGGACCAGACACTTCTCCTGTGCTGGGTAAGAAAGAGACACAGGTCAATAACTATGGGAAACCACCTGCTCCAACAGAGGGGTCCCCTGTAGACCATGCAAGATTGGTAGATGGTTTCTCAAATTCTGGTGCAGCCACTTTGAAGGATGCTAAAGGACGAAAGGGCTACAAGGTGTCTGAATCTGAGGATGGTTCAAGATCTTTGGGAACTACAGTAGATTATAATTGTATCGAGGAAGGGTCCCATGTAGAGGTTTGATTGCCATCTTTCCTTGTGTTCTGTTAGTAGAAGTGTAAAGCTTTAATTTATACAGCTTGTTTATGTTTTCACCTTTCCTTTGTAGTCTATTGTTGAGTCTGTTCTGATATTGATGTTTGCTCGTGTTTGATGATTTTGTGTTCCTTGTTGTCTTTCTTTGAGGTGTGTTTGCCTTGGGTCTTTGTTAACATGCTGTATTGTTGGCTTTCCCAGGTTTTCAAAGATGGGAATGGATACAAAGCAGCCTGGTTCTCAGCCAAAGTGATGGATTTAAAGGATGGGAAAGCATATGTGAGTTATACTGACCTTCCATCAGCTGAAGGTGAGTCATTGTTTTTATTATCAATCTATGGATTAGGAATTGGTAGATTGTTGATACTTCTGAATCCAGAAAACTTGGTGAAACTTTGTGCTCATTTTCTATTTGCTGCATGTGCCTTTGGCTTATGTATGATAGCTTGAAGAATGAAAGATGTGGCTTGTATGTGTGTGTTGCCGCAACTTCTGATGGGTGCACAGTTGCCTTAATATTTTTAGCTATGGAGCTAATTTTGTGAATGCTCTTACCTCTGGTTATTTTAATGTGTAAAGATCTGTATGAACTATGATGAACTTACCAGGTGTTATAGGACAACTGAAATGGGGGGTATTTTGATGCACAAGATAGGATATATAGTAGTGTTGTCAAGCAGGTGTTGTTAATCCCCTGTACATGCATAACCATGTGATCAGAGAGAATTTTCTTGTTGAATTCTATTGTTGGCTTCCTGCTCATTAGAGCCACTGGCAAGTAACTTGTTGGAAGAAGAGAATAATTGAAGCATTGGTATTTTTGCACCCATGCATTTTCAATTTATCATACTTTATTTTTTTGAATATCTCCTGCAGGCTCAGAGAAGCTAAAGGAGTGGGTGGCACTTAAAGGTGAAGGAGATGAAGCACCAAAAATACGAATTGCTCGCCCTGTAACTGCCATGCCATTTGAAGGAACAAGGAAGAGACGGCGGGCTGCCATGGTGGACTATATTTGGTCTGTTGGTGACAAAGTGGATGCATGGATACAAGATAGGTATGTTTCTATGCATGGATACAAGAGGGTGGTACTGACATTTGACAGGAAATTTCAAAACATACACACACACACATAAAGCCAAATATGTTTGATGTAGAAAAGATGAACAAAATCACCAAATCAAAAGAGTTGATGTAGAATAGAAATCTCCAACAAGAGAGACACTCAATCTTCAAGGGATTTAATCAAGAGAGACACAATCTTGGAGAAAATTCAAGTCTTTTTTGAATCAATAATAATTTGTAAAAACTGAATGTCTGCCTAGGGTGCTTATTTATGGGCACCCAATAAAACTAGGAAACATAAACAAACTAGATTGTTAGAATTAAACTCTTCAAATTTTTCAAAAAGTAGACTAAAAAAATCTACTACATGGGCCTGTGTGAATGTTTCTGATACAAAATTGCAGGAGAAAAACATAGAGAATATCTCACAACTGGATGCAATTCTGATTGGTGAATAACTAAGTTTTGAACTCTATGCATGTCCAGGTGCTATTGTATCATGCAATTAATCTCTTCAATCAATTTTAATTAAAATTTTAATGTATGTTTTCCTTATGCTAAAACTTCTATTTTTTCATGTATTATAAATAGCAAAAACTGAAAGACATTTTAGCGTGAAACATCTCCATCAGTGGGAAAAAAAACACTTTTTGGCAAGATTATATTAGGATAGCAAGTTCTCATGTTAACTTTGGAAGAGAATATCAGTGTATAAAAGGTGGAGTCCATGCTTTGTCTTTTGTAAGGTTTGTGAATGAAGAATCATCGTTCCCTCTGTTGACTTAACTGAAAGCTTCGCATCTATTCTCATTGTCTTCCCTCTATTGTCCTCTAATGAATATTTTTCCCATCTTTTGTGCTGTGAGGGCATACTGGTGACATGTTTTGCATCAGTTGTTCTGACCATTGTGCCATTTTTCAGTCCTTCTGTTTAGTTTATACTGTTGCAGCTGTGGTTTGGCACTTTTTAGATCATGCTGCTACTCGTATTTTCTGTTGTGATATGTGTGAGATATTCTTCAGCTTTCTCTATTTTATTTTGCAGCTGGTGGGAAGGAGTGGTCACTGAAAGGAGCAAGAAAGATGAAACCATGCTAACAGTCTATTTTCCAGGTATGGATGTTGGTGGTGTAGTTGAATGAATAAACCACATGTTTGTATGCTTCTCTGCTATTGGATGTAGACTTAGCATTTCACATATGAATCTGTGTCACTCTGCTTCCAGTTCAAGGAGAAACATCAGTGGTTAAAGCATGGCATCTACGCCCTACTCTCCTTTGGGAAGATGAGGAATGGGTTGAATGGTCTGGTTCAAGAGCAGGCACTCACTCTACCAATGGGGTACATTCATTTGATATCTCACTGGGTACTGACCTGAAGATTTTCATTTCTTGCTTGCACTGACACAAAATTGATGTTTCAGGGTGATACGCCACAAGAAAAACGACCAAGGGTGCGGGGCCCTGTGGTAGATGCCAAAGGGAAGGATAAGTTGCCAAAAGGTTTGGATTCTGTGGACACTGATAAACCTGATGAACCTACTTTATTGGATTTAGCTGCTCATGAAAAAATGTTCAATATTGGGAAAAGTATGAAAGATGGGAATAGACCGGATGCACTCAGAATGGCACGGACTGGGTTGCAGAAGGAAGGATCAAGAGTGATCTTTGGTGTGCCGAAGCCTGGAAAAAAAAGAAAGTTTATGGAAGTGAGCAAGCATTATGTTGCAGATCGGAGCAGCAAAAACAATGAAGTAAATGATCCAGATAAGTTTGCTAAAAATTTGATGCCTCAGGGATCTGGATCCCGTGGATGGAAGAATACTTTAAAAACTGAATCACTTGAAAAACGAACAGCTGCATCAAAGCCCAAGGTTCTCAAGTCAGGAAAGCCACAAAATGTTTCTGGTAGAACAATTGCTCAGAAGGACAACTCATTGACTACTGCAGTTTCTGCTTCTGATGGCGCTGCTACAGATCATGTTACAAAGAACAAGGCTTCTACAAGCCATATTGAAAATACATCCGAAAAACATGCCTCGACTGACTTTCAGCCCTTATCTAGCTCTGTGGGAGGAGCAGAGGGTCAAATACTTTCATCCTCTTCTCTTTCTTCAGATACACTTTCCTCTAAGAAAATGTCCACATCCACATCAAATACTAAACCTCCACGGGGAAGTAAAGGAAAACTTGCTCCTGCTGATGGAAAGTTTGGTAGAATTGAGGAGGACAAAGTTTTCATTGGCAGTTCTTCAAAATCAACCTCTGATGTTGGTGAGCCCCGGAGGTCTAATCGTAGAATTCAGCCTACATCAAGAGTAAGTTTTAGAGCTCTTACTTCATATCCTATGTCTTTATTCTCCTCCCTAGACCTGCTTCTGGAAGGGTAGTACTGGGTAATGGCCTTCATTGATTTTGAACCATTTGATGTAGTAGTATGCACCTTAGTTTGTTGCATCAAATCAATTTTTTTATGTGGTTGTTAACATTCTCCCATCCATACAAAGCATCCTGGCTTCTCACCTTCTTTCCTAGGGGCCAATAGCCATTTGGAAAATGTAGCTTCCTTTTGACAATCCCATGTTGATAAGAGGATTTCTACTCACCCTTGCAGACTATAGCAATTCCACAATGTCCAGAGGCTCTTGGAGCATTTCTTTCTGGAAGATGTGTTTCTCTACTTTGTATTTGTTCAGTGAACACTTTCCAGTCCTAAAAAGAGGTGTAACAAATAAAAATTGAGTTGTGGATAGAATTCGAAGATGGTCCTTTTCTCATTACAAATTTTCCTTGAGTTGTGCTTATTGCTGTGGAAGTGGAACCATATGCTTATTCCAGTTAATTGTATAAATGGTCCTTGAATGGTGAATTTCAAGATGAGAAATTTGAAGAAAGTTCTTTTAAGATTGTTGGGTTTCATCTATTGCCATTTTCTTAGGATCTTCTCTGTAACATGGAGAACTTTTCTGCTCTTATATCCTTTTCGCGGCACTTGCTTCTCAAGTAGATTAACGTCTTCATGCCTTTGAATTCATGTACTGACAAGCTTATTTATCAATCTTCTTGTTCACAGCTATTAGAAGGGCTACAAAGCTCCTTGATGGTCACAAAAATTCCATCTGTATCACATGACAGAAGTCAGAAAAATAGGACTGCTGCTAGAGGTAACATCTCCTTGCAGAATTCGCTGGGTATTTTAGGCTTCTATGTGCATTTGTACGTGATTGAAAAATCATAAATTGTTGCAGGGAATAACCATGGTTGAGAGAACTCTTGCAATGATGAGATCCAGTGCAAAGAAGCTCAATGGTCGCCAGACAACACACCGAGAGTAGTAGTTGTGTATATTTATAATAGAGGAGTTAGCTAGGAATGGAAATTCTGCTTCCTTGGGTATAATGACATTAGTGGTTAGGTGTTCATATCAATTCTAGTTTATTTGCAATGATGATTTGATCTCCTAGCATTTGCCATAAGGGTTGTATATGGAAAATCTCCATTTAGTTTGGCTTGAAATTGCGGGAAACTTTACTAATCAATCTCATGTATACCTTTTGAATTCCCGTTTTAGGTGATCCGTGCTTGGTGGGGCTGGTCATTTTCACAATCAATAAGCTTTAGTTTCCTGTATGCAATGTACTATTAAATTTTAGCGAGGGAGACTGCTGAACTGCTAGAGGTCCCTAGTAACTAGTTGACTCTATTACATAGATCGATGGCGACTTAAGCTTCCACATTCCTTGTAAAAGATCATGTTTATGGACCTGATACATCCTTGCATGCATGCATGAAGCGGATTCTACTCCTGATTCTCGAACTTAGTGAAATTTTCCTTGAGCTCTGTAACTTCCAAGAGCTAGTGATTACTTGCAGATCTGATGTATGATCTCATCTCCATAACCTCTATCTCAGTGTAAGCAAGCTCTGCTTGTAAACTTGCAGAATCAATGACATGCTGCGAGGCTATAGGTTAGCATTCTGCAGAAAGGCATCAAAACCTTGGGTGTAGATAGTCTTGTGAGAGACGGGTTCGCTATATAGGAATTTACTAGATCAACCTTTTTGTGGGTGTGTTTGTTTTCTCTTCAAGTGGTCACATGGGCTTTAACTTGTTCCTCGAAATATAACTAATCGTAGACCAACCCGTTTAACGGGTGGTTCGTTGCAATATTGAATTTATTTTACAATGTCTCTTAAGTAATTTACTAATACATTATTAATTTCACAATCAAACTTACTGAATGCATGTTGCATATTTGTATTTCTTTCTTTTTTGGTACAAGGTGAGAAATTAATTGATTGCACCGCCAGCAAAAATAAAATTATTGCAATAACATCGCTCCTTGTCGATTTTCCATTTTTTTTATGGCAACTGTGTACTGTGTACAGTGCACTTGAAACAGAGGCGGCCTGGGTTGATCCAAATCAACAATCAGATGGCAAAAGAGTGCGATATTTTCCCCTCATTTGCACGTTCTTGAGCTTTTCCTTTGGCATTGCAAAAATACTGCAGCGGCAAACAATTTCACAGCATCCCACTGCCACTTTCATCTAAAACGGGTGTGGAGAAACAAAGAACATGATGGCACAATAAAGTCAGACTTGGTTGATGCAACCAAACAAGTTCCATTGACTTCGACATACCTACAAACAGGTTTCCCTAGCAAAACTATCTATGAACAATTGCAGCTCATTGAAGTTCCCTGTCTCCTGTACATAAACCCAGTTCATTCGCTGATCCAATCACTGTTACTGAACAGAAAAGGAAAGCAGATACTAAATTCAAGAAGGCTTAAATTATGATGCCGCAATGAATTTTTTTTTTTTGTGCCAGCGTGAAATGGTGACATGCTTGCAAGATGAAATGTAGGAGGCATAAATTTGTGCCTGCTATTAACCATGAGCTGCCTCCATTTGTACCTTTAGTCAGGAAAATTTTCACCATCCTTGTTCTCTCTTAAAGACAGTGGTTCTTCCATGCTTCTCTTCTTCAATCTCTGGAGGCTTTTGTCACCTTGATTCTCCCCAACATACTTGGAATCAACATTTTCCTTCAAGTTCATATGGATTCTTTCTGACAGTAGATCCTCACCCTTTCTGTTTTCATCATCTGTAAATGGCTTCTCACAGATACAAGATGGATATTCGTGGAAGTCACCTCGTCCAGGCCTCACCTCATCGGGTTCTCCCATAAATCCTCTCTGGCTTGCTTTCACCTTTTTGGCAAATGTATCCCAGTCCATCCGATCCCTTGCCTTGAACAATGCACTGAGCTTCTTTGCATTCGGTCTGATGGTCCTCTTATGCCCAGCATATCTCCTAGGATCCATCATATAAGAGAAACAAAAATTAGTGCAGAGAAAAGGTATGTAAGAAAGAGAACAGTGAATGATAAGAGTAACTTCTACAAAAAATTATGTAATAAATGAAATGGCATGTATTATTACAAGCAAGATTTTTCACATTTTGGAATTGGATTCTATCATGTGGGGGAATAATAATTATGGAAGGAATAATTAATAATGCACGAATCATAAAAGGCACATCATATAGTAAACAAATATTAGTAAATGTTTAAGCATGCCTTAAATTACTCGGATATATAATGTCTAGAATCTTTTATTCTTTTATTTTTATTTTTTTTGCAAAATATCCCTAGAACCACTCATTATATAAGGACTGGAATACCTTGTATCACCATACATTTGATTATAATGACAATAAAAATCAGGTATTCACAAAAACAAATCTTCATGAGAAAATATTATACTATGATCCAAAAATTCAAGTTCATTCAACACATCACTCTCATGATAGACAACATAGAAAATAGAGACACTAATATTTTCTCAGAATTAACTTTCTTGACAATTCAAATTTAAATCACCAATTCCTTCCTCATCTTCATATCAAATTGAAGACCAAAAACTAATTTTAAGCTTAAGCATATTCAAGGAAAAAAAAATACATGGAGTAGTATTCTCACCTTCGACCAGCAAGAATCTTGGCCATGTTTCCATTGTTATTTGTGACAAAGACATCACTCTCATCACAGACAATGTAGTCAATGGCCGCCATGCGGGAGGAAAATGGAAAAAAAGATTTCAGCTCTTTGATTGCAAGCATCTCCTTTGTATAGAAGTTTGGGAAGAGTTCTCTGAGGGGTCTCAAAGTCTCTTCCCCGCCGTATATTTCTCCAGATGCAACATAGAGGTATGTGTCGTTAGCAAAACCAAGGGCACGCAGCATCAATCCCACTTCATGAGGAGTGAGCGGACATTTTCCTCTCTCGCGCTCTCCATCAGGGCTTAAATCCTAAAACATTGCAAGTATATATCTGGGGTAAATAAAATAAAATAGAGAATCATCTGAATCCATCTTAAAAAGGCAGTCCTCATTTCTCCAGGTAATTACAAGAGAGCTGCAGTGAGTGGCACGACTCAATGGGTTGAGAATCTTTATATAACTACAAAATTGGAGGTTACAAAGGAATAGCATTCTTTTCTTACAGGTAATGTTGCCCATCTTTTTCTTATTTCACCAAGCTCAAATCTCTCCTTTTCACCCCCACCAAAGTAACACCCAGAAAACGCAAGCATATCAGGTTCAAACCTGTAATTTTAAACAGTTAGGCCATGAACATATAAATCCAAATATACAAACCATTCACCACCTGTCCATAAAGCGTCAACATGTAAAGACCTATGCTCATAAAACCCAAACATACGGATATGATAGTAATCCTTGCTAGAAAAAGGAGGATACAGAAAGCAGTTCTTCTATACAAGTGGTATGTTCATATTCCTTTAGCATTCATTAGCTGCAAAGAAAATCTGATAAGCATCTCTACCACAGCCTACAATAAAATACACACAATAAAATCCAAGCATTTCCTTTCCTATTATCTCCTCACACGTACAAGCGCACATGTGTGCGTGTGACGAGGGTGAGAAGGGGGTGTCATGTACAATAGTTGTGCATTACATGAAAATTAGTAAATGGGCTAGAATCTAGAGGAAACTCTAGCCAAGATAGGATCCCAAAATCATAATTTTCAGAACCTGTCCCCCACAGCTGTCTTGGCCATTAAGTGGGGAAGAGATAGACATATTATGCAACCATGTTATTGACATTAAAGCAGCAGAATAGTCTATTTTCCCTCAGATTAGACATGTCAATTAAATTTTGAAGTAAACAATACAAACCTCAAGTGAATTGCAATGTAACGTTTTTCCATCTTTCGCATTTTTGTCACAAGTCTCTCTCCAATTTCTTGTATGGGTTTTGTAAATCTTAAAGCATGATAATTAGCCCGGCAGCGCAACTTTTGCAGCTCTTCTTCAAGGTTACTTGCAAGCCTGTAGTCAAACTTCGTCAACTGCACAACCTGCAAAAATTCATATCCTATTGCTTTGCTTACAAAAAACTAGAACATATCAATAAAATACTTCACACCACAAAGAAAGAGACCTGGATTTCCAAAACTTTAAAGAGAACAACAAGGGCATGTAAAGGCAGCAATAACGAACTGGAAACTATCAAATTAAAAAGAATAATTACGAACTGAGGAGAGTGCCTTACACGTCTCCTTAATAATATTGGCAGAACTTGATCCAGATAATATTCAGGAGGGGATTTTCTTGGGACACGCATGGTATATGGGGGTTTTTCCATTGACCTCATGACCTTGTCAGGAACTCTTTTCACAATGGTGACATCTTTTGCAAGGTAAGAAATGAACCAATCAACGTCAAAAATGTTGACAAAGTCACTGCATACAAAGGGACATATTTAATTAGGCAATGGGTGTAAAGTTTAATATAAAGAACGCAAATATGAGAAAGAAAGAAATGATCTTCCAGATTAAATACTAGGCAAATAGAATAACAAATCCCAACTTACCTATCATCCTTCCAATAGGAGTGATGATCCAGCTCAGGCACAACTAATGTAGCATTAAGAATCCGTGAAACAACCACAGCATCTGTTATCTAAGCAATTGTCATTTTCAAAAACACAACACATTAATATTCGGGCAAGAAAAATATATAACCCTATTTGATAAAACACTCTGAATCAAAAGATAACCTTCACTTACTCCAGTTCTTTGTTGGTTCAACCCTCCGCTTGCAGCAATAAGCAAATAGCCATTTGATGCCCGCTCACGTACGGCAGCTGCACATAGACTTAGCTTTGTTAGAAAGTTTGAACTCTAGAATGTTTCAGTATCTTGTTCAGAGTTGAAAGGAAATAACAGAACTAATAAAATCTACTCTAACAGCCACTGATTCTATCCAGACAGCGAAATTGAACTTGTATAGTAACCGGAAGCAAACATTCCAGTAAAAGCAACTTAAAAAGAAATTTTGAACATACGAGGAAAATTACGCCCTCTTTCGCTACATCCATAGAAGAGATTCGAGTATTTTGATTTCCAAATATCAATGGCTTCACGTCGCCTTCCCTCCTGCAACACCATCCATTGCCACTTTACATTAACCCAATCTCTAAAAACATTCTCACTTCCTATTTTCACTCAAAAATTCTACTTTTTTTACAAATAAATAAAAACAACATTGCAGAATAAAACTTCAGAAAATAAGAAAATTGAGAAACTTGTGATTAATTAATACAGTACCAGCCTAGAGTAGAAGAGGCTGCGCTT